ATCTCTATTGGTGAACCCCGAGCAGAAAGTGATGGAAATCGGCAATATTCATAATAGAATCTTGCCACTGGCTAATGGCTGAAGACGGATGTCTCAAGCTGTAGTGGAAAAGATTAACTCTTCAATCAGGGGCTTTACTGCTTTGCTGATTTGGGGGGAAATAACATTTTCTTTGTGTAAAATTAGCATAACATGAAAATACATTAGTATGAAAATGTCACGAGAACCCTTGATAGGGAAAATTAGATACAAGCTTATAGAAATTTTTACCTTGGTAACTCCTTTTTTCTGGTGTACTGTTAATGTAATGTTGCACTGTTTATAGATCAGCTTAGAAGTGTTAAAAGTTCCACCCTGTTACATAGTTCTTCTTTTGTAGCTGTCCATCAAAAAACTCCAAGTAAATCAGGTTGTTGCAGAAACAGAACAATTGAGAGCAGTTGAAAATGACTGATATCCTAATTGGAAGTAGACTATTTTAGTTGCTTAGGATTTGTTGAAACTGTCAGTGTGTTTAACATTTTTCTTCCTAGTAGCTTTTATTTGCGAGATCTCAACCAGATTCCTTCCCTTTTAGCTTTTAGTCCGTGCAGGTGCTAAACTGGATATTCAGGATAAAGATGGGGATACTCCCTTGCATGAAGCCCTGAGACATCATACTCTGTCACAGCTTCGCCAGCTCCAAGACATGCAAGATGTGGGCAAGGTAGATACTGCTTGGGAGCCATCAAAGAACACAGTAAATACATGCATTTATTCCTTTTTTCCTTGTACACTGTCTTTAATCAAACTTAAAAATCCTGTACTGTTGAACTGTTTGTTGACAGCATAGTTTTGTTTAAAGATCTTCTATGTCAGATCACAGTGTATAAAATGAAGTTATCACATGAATATTCTTATATTTACTCATTAATTACCGCACCTTTTTTGAGACAAATGCATATGCTATGCAACAAAACATTTGTCAGCCAGTGCGTGATGGCTGCTGGGGGTTAAGAAATTTTAAGAAACAAACAGTAATACAGTAGAGTGAGACTGAAATGATTTCTAAAAATTAACATTTTGCATGTCTTCATTTATCGCTTGCAATTGTTTTATTTTATTCTTCATCTCTATATGTTTCTTAGAACTTTTGCATGTCTGATTGTGTCTAGCTATAGCTTGATCATTTTAGCTAGTATATTATGTATGCGTACTCTCTTCACAGAGTTCATTTCAGAATTCAAGTGACATGGGTGTCTTCTCAACTAATAACAAGGTCAAAGTTAATGTTCAAATAAATAAAAAGCTCTGGGGATACATACATCAGTTCAGCAAGTGAAAATAACAAATGAGGCAACTGTTTTATTCTGGTAATAAAAATGTTAATAATAAATTTTATTCCAAAGATAAAGATCTGTGTTGTAACAATAAAAAAGATCTATCTTTGTAACAGTTTGCCTCTTCAGTCTAAGAGCTGTGCCCACTAATGCTGATACTGAGACCAAGAGATGCTTATTTTAAGCCTCTAATTTAGGGACTCAATAGGCTTTTTGGACAAAAAATTAATACATAGTGCCCTCTTTACAGTTGAGAGGTTTTTAGATATTTCTTTTTCTTGCATGCTCTTTAGAAACAAAGTGTTCTTTATTGATTGTCTCTCTTTAAACTTATCTGTTTTGTGTTAAAATTATTTACTGATTTTAGTATCTGACTTGCTTTCTTAAAAAATTACAAATGTTGATACTGTTTTTTTCCCTGTTGATCTGCCATTTGAGTATTCCATCATTTTATTTTATTGAGTATTAGTGCATAAAATACCTACATCAACATGCTGGCAATTATTTAAAACATCATTGAGGTGTTATCATCTGTAAATATGCCAAGATACATTTATAGGGTGCCTACACACAAATTCATGATTCTTTATTTTAAAGCATAATCTAATAGTTCATTTCTGCTTTCGACAGTGTTCTAGACACGATGTGAACTCTGTCTTAAGACAAAAATTATTTGGCTTACAATGAAATGTTACTTTTTCCTGTTAGCCATGGAACCCCTTTTTTCCGCTTTAGTATCTAAAAATCAGGCTGGATTCTTTATCGTGCAGCATAATCTCCTAGTAAAGAATCTGGAACAAATTTATACCAATTGCAACTTCCAGCCTCCCTGCCTTAATAAAAGCAGAATTTGCCACTTCAGTTATTCCTGTAAACCCTGCTGTTGGGAAGGTGTAAGGGACTGAAATATGTATAGGAGTTAGGAATAGGGCAGCCTTTTTGAAGATACAGAAAGTCGGAGTAGAATTCAGGTATCTTGATGGTCTGTGTTGACTGAAGGCACATCAACAAAATTATACTTTTTTCTGTCTCAACAATATTTGTGGTTCAAAATATACTGACAGCAGATTTGTTGAGTTAGCAGGATGCCAGATGTATGTAGTTGTTCTGATTCCTGATATTCTAAGTGATTGTTCTTGTATTTCATTTAAACAAGCTTTATAGGAGAAAATTCTAATTTGTAAATTCATTGTATAATGATATTAAAAAGCACACTGTTTATTGATCATGTACAATCCTATTTATAAAAGAAAAGGTCACTTTGATTATCCGTGTGTGGTAAGTGACTCTAATGGTACCCACTGTAAAAGGTAATAAATGAAGTAACAATTAGATGCATTAGGAAAGCACACTTATCAACATTTGAAAGCTATGAATAAGATATTAAAATATACCTAGTTTAATATAAACTGCACTAAAAGTACTTTTGAGAGGGATTCAAAGTGTGGCTCTAAAACTGCTCCAACTTTTTCTAAAATATGCTATAGAACTTTTTTTAATACTTGGAATGATTAATCTCAGACCTAGTTTCAGCTTCGTGGTCTGAGATGAACTTTGCAAAACTTAACCAAAAGTGGTGGGAGTGGAGTGGTGGGGGTATTTTAAATATGAAGCAATCATATAGTAAATATGAAATGGATAGAATGTATATGAATTTTCTCAGATTTAGTACTGCATGGATGTTTTCCACTGACTGCATCTGCTAGATGGCGAAGATGTTTCCTTTTTTGCTTGGCTACCAGTCTTCTCAACCTCTTCTCAAGATTTCCCGGTTATGCTTCAGAGTTTGGGTTTCCAGTCTTTGGCGTGCCATGATTTACATATATGAGAAGTCCTTCACTCTAGGAATTGTGTTATACCAATTTTTTTAAATGGCCCAAGTGTCACCTCTTAAATTTATACCCAAACTTCCAAGTGCCCTGGGTTTCAAAAATAATATACAGCAAGTCCTCCCATGGAAGTTGAACAACAGACTAGGACTTTTCTTGTTTATCCCTAGATCAAGTTTCCTTTGACCCAAGAATTTTTTTTGCGTAACCAATCAAAATACTTGGAAAGTAGGCTGGGTGTGAAAAAGGCTGCTGTTGAAATGGAAAGGGTTTTGTATATTCCTTTATTTGTCTGCTTTGTATATGGAAAGTGCTAGCTGCATGTCACATATGCAGATTCTCACATTATTCCGAAAATAGTGTTCAGTGTAATTGTCACTACTGCAGAAAATATCCAGTAATTGGATGTTAAGGAGACAAATTCAGTGCTCACCTGTTACTCAATAAGGGTAATATGCAGTGATACTGTCTCTCCCCTGTATTAGTTTTTTTTATGTACCAAATTATTTTCTTGCTTTACTAGTAATAAATCAAGATTTCAGCTAATTATTTTAATAAATGAGATCTTTTGGGACAAAACCCTACTCTTACATGGACATGTTGCTTCCATTCAAGTAATTTTGGAATAGTGAGCATACAAAAGGGTAAAATTTCAGCTGTTAGAAGCATGTTTAGATTTTATTGCATCTGCTGGAGTGTAAAGGTCATTTCAGGAATGATTTATGTTATCATATTTTTCAAGTAGGTTAGTGATACAAAATATTGAAGTTGTGTAATTGTCTTTGTAATGTTTAATAATCAGGGAATGACGACTTGGTCTTCTGAATTAGTAATTTAATTTTGTTGCTGAACTTTCTTTGCTAATTTCTGGTGGACAAGATTAAGTTTTGAAAGGAAATCTGCATCTTGCTTGTTGGGTAAACTAATTTCCAATAATTCAAATTTATCCAGTGTGCCTCCCCTCCCTCCCCCTTTTCTTAAGGTAAGCTAGCAGATTTCTGTAGTCTGAACTTCTTAGCAAATCTAATATAGAAATCTCTTGTTTACTAAATATTTTGGAGCTCTTCTGAGGCTGAATTAATATCTTTATTATGTAATCATAATAGTTCCTTTTAATTTACATTTGTGGTAGTTGCTGTTGGTTATCATATATATATAATCCAGAAGAGTTATCAGAATTGTTCAGGTGCTTCATTGGTATTCTTGACTAACCTCTCATAGACTGTTCTGACTGACACAAGTATCCAGTGAAAGTATACCACAATGGCTGAAAAATCTATCCTGAGCTGTTAGTGGAAGATATCAACACCTGGAAGGGGAAGACTTTTAAATGGTCATGAACATTTTTTTCTAACATGACTCTTTCCTGGCAGTTGCACTAACTTGTCTGTTATGCCTAGAAAATGGACAAGTTTGCTGAATATGCATTTTAAAAGCAATGGAAAAAGAAAAGATGTCATTGCTGTGAGCAGCCTTTTGATCTTGGAATTTGAATGCGGCTTGTCACTTCCTTTTCAAAAACTTATTAATAGGAGATGAGATTCTTGGGTACGCTACTCAAGGTCTATTCTGACTTCCCCTGTCAATTTTGCAAGACAAGTTAATTTGATATGGTCATCTATTGTAAAATTCATGTAGAACTTCTGAAAACACAACTTCTAAACATTTAGTGCCTTTGAAAATAAAGTTGCTGTGGCTAGATTAATGATCATTTTACACTGGGATTTTTTGACATGATAGTCTGAAGGTCTCTGTTACTATGACATATGTGCTAGGTTATATCTGCATATTGCAAACAGAATTGGAGATGGAAAACTGGTTTTCTTAAAAGTTAGAATTGACGTAGTTGTAAAAAGGGTTGGCCTGGGAGGCGACATGCCAAGTTAAATTGAGTTTATGTCCTCTCTATTTTTTATGATCTATAGAGTAAACCGTAAGGGTTTTGCTCTGCTTATTTACATTAGAAGTCATAGAATCATAAATGAGTAGGACTAGAAGAGACCTTGAGTGGTCATCTAGTCCAACCCCCTGCCTGAGGCAGGCTCATCCCTGTTTAAACCATCCCATGCAGACCCATTGTTGAAGCTCTTACCAGACGTACATAGTCGACTCTGACACCACACGAGACGACACCCTAATCTGCCACTGGTAAAACGGGGGCCACAGCAGCCAATGTCCTACTGCTGCAAAAGTTGTTAAAAATGTGCTCAATATACTACCCTCCTCAGGGGAAGGCAGACATCCCCATGGCCCATACCAGTATAACCATGGAGTAAAATTCCTTCCTGACCCCAAAGATGATGATCAGTCTGACCCTGAACAGAGGGGCAAGACCCTCTACCCAGGAACCTCTGGGTATAAGTCCCAGCAGAAGCATTGGCAAACCCCAGTCAAAATCCCCAGCCTTGACTGCAACCAACACCCAGTGTCTCTGAGGAAGGCTTAAAAAACCCTTCTCACACGTGGAGTAGCAGGAGGGGGAAAAATCTTGACCCCATGCAGCAAATAGAAAAGCCCAGAAACATGGGAAATATCTATAGTAGAAGATAGGCATAGCTGTGCCCAAGTCATTCCTGACTGATGTCTGTTCTCCTTCTCTTGAACACTTCCAGTGATGGAGATTCCACAACTTCCCTAGGGAATTCTTTCCACTGCCTCACTGTGGTAAACAGTGAAGAAGTTTTTCCTGATATCCAATCTAAACCTGTTTTCCTGTAACTTCAAGCCATTGGTCCTAGTCCTACTCTGTACTAATAGAGGAAAAAAAAGTGTTTTGCCCTTTCTTTATGGCAGCTGTTTAGGTATTTGAAAACTGCTATCGTTTCCCTTCTTCTTAAGTGTCTTTTCCAAAAGTTAAACTTGCCTAGCTCCTTCAACCTCTCTTCGAATGACTTGCCTTTGAAGCCCTTTATCATTTATGGGACCTGCCTCTGCACCCTCTCTGACTTCTCCACATCCTTTTAAAAATGTGGAATCCAAAATTTCACAAAGTACTCTAGATGAGGCCTAGTCATTGCCAAGTAGAGGCCTCCCATGTCTTGTACCTAATGTGTCTGTTGATGCATCTCAAAACTGCTTTCTCCTTTTTGTGCAGCTGCATCACACTGCAGACTTGTATTGAATCTGTGATCTACCAAGACTTCCAGATCCTTCTCTGCAGTGCTGCCATCCAGCTACCCTTTTTGTATTTGTAGTTTTGATTATTCCTCCCATGGTGTAGCACCTTGCGTGTGTCAGCATTGAAATAAATCTGTTAGCTCCAGCCCAGCAATCTGTCAAGATACTTCTGAATTGCTGTCCCATACTCCTATGTGTTTGGGATCATTCCTATCTTTGTCACATCTGCAGACTTGCTCAAGAAACTTTCTATGCCAGCATCCAGATCATTAATAAACGTGTTGAACAACACTGGGCCCAGGACAGACCCTTGTGGGACTTTCCTCAAAACCGTTTGCTGTTCTGACATGGGTTTATAATAACCCTTTGTTTGCAGTTATTCAGCCAGTTGTCTATCCACCTAATAGTAGTTTGTCTATCTCACATTTCTCCGGTTTATCTATGAAAAAGTCATGTCATACCTTATCAGAAGCCTTGCTGAAGTCCAGATACTCTATATCCACAGCATTCCTCTCATCCACTTAAGTAGTTACTTTGTCAAAGGATATCAGGTTTGTTTGACATGATTTGCTCTTAATAAATCCAAGCTGGCTGCTTGTGGTTGGCCTTTCTTCCTCTAGATACTGCCACGTGGACTTTAGGGCTGCTTGCAGACATGAAAAAAACCCCTGGACAAAAGCTCTTTGCTTTAAACTCGGTGTGCTCCCACACTGAGCCCAGCACATGCCCAGAAGATGCAGTGCTTTAGTTGCACCCAGCTTTCCCAAAGTCTATAAAGATTGGATGTTCTAGGAGGGCCTTTTTGCACTTGTATCTAATAGCTGGTTGAATCAGGTTCAGCTAAAAGCACCAAAAAGCCCAGCTGAAGCACGTGCTCTATACAGGTGCTGTGGAGCCAGGTTGGAGTAACATGCTGCTGCTTCCGGTGGAATGCATTATTTTTCCTCATCTGTCAACACCCCCTTAGGATATGCTTAAACGTTGTCATTGTTTAAGTAGGGCTGTCCCATTTTTGGTTGGGGGTTGCATGCCTCGATGTGCAGTGTGGTGGTCCTCCCTCTGCTGTACTTCACTGGTACCCCCATACCACCTTTGGTGCAGAGTCATAGAATCAGGGTTGGAAGAGACCCTGAAGGATCATGGGGTCCAGCCCCCTGCATGAGCAGAAAAGACATCTGGGGTCAGGTGACCCCAGCCAGGTGACCATCCAGTCTTCTCTTGAAGACCTCTAGGGTAAGTGGTTGCACCACCTCTTGGGGGAGCTTGTTCCATAGTCTGGACACCCTAGTTGTGAAGAAGTTTTTCCTAATGTTCAGCCTGAAACTATCTTCCAAGAGTTTGTGGCCGTTGTTTCTAGTTTTCCCCCAGGGTGCCCTGGAGAACAGTTGTTCACCGAGCCTCTGATATACGCCTCTAATATAGCGTTAAGTCTCAATCAGGTCCCCTCTCAGCCATCTTTTCTTTAGGCTGACGAGTCCAAGATGCCGCAGGCTCTCCTTGTATGGCTTGCCATGCAAGTCCCTTGTCATAAGGGTGGCCCTTCTCTGGACCCTCTTGAGTTTTAGCACGTCCTTGTTGAAGTGCAGCGGCCAGAACTGGACACAATACTCCAGCTGCGGCCACACCAATGTTGAGTAAAGTGGGAGAATCACTTCTTTGGATTTACTGGAGATGCATAGATTGATGCATGCCAGACTTTTATTGGCCCTAGCAGCTACTGTCGCATTGCTGGCTCATGTTCATGCTGGGGTCTATTGTTACCCCCAGATCCCTTTCATTTGTAGTGCTGGTCAGGTTAGCATTGCCCAGCCTGTAGGTGTGCTGGGGGTTCTTCCTTCCCAGATGCAGCACTTTGCATTTCTCTACGTTGAACTGCATCTGGTTCCATTCTGCCCAACATGCCAGCCTATCTAGGTCTGCTTGTATCTGCTGCCTACCTGCGGGTGTGTCCGCGCAACCCCATATCTTGGTATCGTCCATGAACTTGGCCAATGGGCTTTTCACCCCCTCATCCAGGTCTTTGATGAAGATGTTGAACAGCACTGGGCCAAGTGCTGACCCCTGGGGTACGCCACTGCCCACATCTTGCCAGGGCAACACTGATCCATTTATTTGGACTCTGTGTCCTACCCTGCAACCAGTTTCGTACCCACCCATCGGTCTCGCAGTTGAGCCTGATATCTTCAAGTTTTCTGATCAGTACCTCATGGGATACCAGGTCAAAGACTTTCTGGAAGTCAAGGTATATGATGTCAATCGCTTTTCTCTCGTCCAGGTGATGAGTCACCTGATCATAGAAAGAAATGAGGACACGGCCATACTGGCTGTCATTCCGTATCATGCCTTGTTTAATGAATGTTTCTAGGATTTTCTCTGAAATAGAAGTTAAGCTAATTGGCCTGTAGTTTCCTGGGTTTTCATGCTTCCCCTTCTTGAAGATGGGCACAACACTGGCCCTCTTCCAGTCCTCTGGGATTTCTCCAGAGGCCCATGATTTTTGAAAGACCTTTGCCAAGGGCTCTGCGATTATTTCGGCCAACTCTTGCAGCACTCTTGGGTACAGTTCATCCAGTCCTGCTGATTTATAGATGTCTAATTTCTTTAATTGATCTTATACCAGTTCTATGACAGTGGTGGGAATGGTGTCAATCCCACCCTGCTCATTCTGTGCCCTACCTGGTGTGCTGTTCCCCTTGGTCTTGTGAAAGACCGAGGCAAAATAGTAATTTAGGAGTTCTGTTTTTTCCTGAGTGGTAGTGACCAGGTATCCTGAGGCATTGAGCAGTGCCCCCACACTCCCATTAGTTTTCCTTTCACTCCCTATGTAGCTAAAGAACGACTTGTTGTCCTTGATTCTTGTAGCTAGTTTTGGTTTGGTTTCCACCTTAGCTTGCCTAATCTGGTTTCTACAAGTGTAGGACATTGTCAAGTAGTCTTCCTTAGAGGTCCTTTGGCCCCTCTGTCTGTGGTGCTGTCTCCCACCACCATAGGCAAAAGTGGAAGTTGGAAGAGAGAGGGGAAGTTTGGAGACTCCATAGGTACCAGTACAAGACTAATAGGTAGACAGTGCCCAGACTGGGAGCCTAGGGGCAGCCAGTTGGACAGTGCTGGTTTAAGCCTTGAATATTCATATTTTATTGAGGTAGTAATTTAGTAATATTTGGTCAGTTGACATCAAGCATCATAGTTAACAAGGAAATCATTTACTCAGTTTTCTCTTCCTTTGTGATATTATGGTCTCACAGTTGTTCAAAGTTTTTTGTTCTGGTTGAAACCCCGGCATTTCTGCACTCCATTTACTGAATACACTGGGGAGATGTCCATGTGAGCTCTAAAATTGTTAGCTTGCATAAAACTAACAGCTGAGCAGTTGCAACCCAATATGTGTTAATTTAACTCTACTCAGTAGTCTGCAGTACAGACATGAAAGTAGGCCTGTGCATGGAATATGCCTTATTGGGTAATATAATTTGACTATAATTTTTGTCTTAGAATGGGCAGATAAGCTAAAAATGCTTCCTTGGATTTATACAGATGTCTACATGTTATATGGTTAGTTTTCGTTAAATCTGTGTTTGCAAGTATTTAGAGAATCTCAAGGCTGTTACCTAATTACTTTTTTTCAGTTAATAATGGGACTTGGCACACAGGGAGGAGAGAAGAAGAGCGCAGCGTCTATTGCCTGTTTCCTGGCAGCCAATGGAGCTGATCTCAGTATTCGTAACAAGAAGGGACAGTCTCCTCTTGACCTCTGTCCTGATCCTAGCCTCTGCAAAGCACTGGCTAAATGTCACAAAGAAAAAGTCAGGTTTGTATACCACAAAAATCTGGAATTTTCAAGCATCATGTTTACAAACCCTATTTTCTGTGAATTAAATCAAAGTTGAAAACAAAATGCTTTTTCCCTAATAATAATCGCAATAAATAGCTGAAGATTAAGATAAAGGTAAGCATAGTTGTATTCTGCAATGTGTTAAATGCTAGCTACAAAAACATTAGTTGAAGCTGGTGAGTAGTGACAGTGTCAGTTTCTTTTTTCTGTTTGAGGCACGATTTACACTTCATACTTAATGTACTCGAGTAATTCTGTATCACAACCATTCATTATTCCATCTCTGACATACTAATAATTAGTGGTACCTGTTGAATAGGTTATCCACTAGGAAGTACTCTGATTTGAAGAAAATGCCATGCATCATCAAATACCCACTTATTGATAAGTTTCCATTTACTGCTTGTCCAGCAATAGTGGTTTAGATTTTAAAAAATAAATAAAATAATTTCTCCCTTAATTCACAAATCCTGTAGCCATCTCAGATTTATACTTTTTATCCCTGTATTGTGAAGTATGTAATACTTTCTTAATTTTATAAAAACTGAAAAAAGTGTTCTTGTTGGTTCTGTCTTGGTTTGGTAGGAATTTTCTTTTTAGCCTTCTTGCCATGTAGATTGCAGATCATTGCAGCTTATTCTGTTTATGCGTTAACGCCTTTTATGGCATGGTCAGAGTTCTGGTAATAAAGATGTATTTAACATGTACTCCCTCTGCTGGGTATGGAGTAGCATAGAAGAAAAGATTCCAGATAAATACTGGTTTGAGCATTTGGGGCTTTATTTCTTAATTGCCTATAAGTAGGCTTTTATAATATATATATATTTTTTCATATGGGGTTATGATAGTGTCTTGGTTAGGTCAGATTCTGAACTTAAGGTAAGTGTCCCGTCAATATTAAAGTTCATAGGAAGGTGGTAGATTTTTTTCTTCTCAAATTCTCTAACTGCTTTGACAGTTCACTGGCTTCATGCTTTCTGCAGATCATTTTATTCAAGCATGAATCTTGTTAAAGCAAGCACTGGCAGAAAATGTCTATATCTCTTATAAAACTTGAATTCTTGTTTCTGTAATGGCAGTGAAATACAAAGGTATCTTTCCTCAACAGCTTATAAAACGAGCAAGAGGAGTGACGCAATCAAACTGTAATAGGATATGCCTAAGTTAGAGTTGACAACTGTTTACTAGAAGGCCTACATGTGCCTTCCATGGTGCGCTTGTTACTGTGGCATCATTTAGTACTTGCTTGAGGAAGTACTAAAGGATGGCGCAGTAACAGCCATTACTGTGCCATCCCAGCAGTGCACAGTTATTTTTAGCAGCTACGTTGCCATAGCGACACTCTATAGCAAGGTAGCTCGTCGCTATGGCAACGTAGTGTTGACAGCATGGTTTGTGTCTGCCAATGCTATGTCGCTGTAGCGTGACATGTAGACACGCTCACAGACTAACCAAAAGTAGGTTTCTATGTGTATGTAATATAACAAGCTTTCATGGACTGAAGCTCACTTCTTCAGATGTTGAGGTGGGCTACTAATTATTAAAGGTTTCCTAAATCCATTTGATGTCCCGTTTTCTTTCCCCCATGAATAAACCTTGTTATAGTTTAATATGGCTTGCAAATGGGAGAGTCTGTTTGACACTGGAACACACAGGCAAAATCTATTTTCCCACATTTTTGGGTAGGGGCTTGAGCCAGGAAAATAAATTTGTGTTAAAACTCCTGAACTGAGCTTGGCCCTTGGCTACTACAGTCCTGTGTCTGGCAGAATGGTTATATTTTACTAACGTTTTAGTTTTACTAACCGCTTCTTATGACCCAATGGCAGCATGGCCTGGCTATCCCCTGTGAAACTCATTTGTTCCTGTTCTATGCACTGATCTGGCCCTCTACCACACCCCTACAAATGCAGCCTCCTCTGAAAGATGTGGCAAGGGACAATTTTAGAGTTGCTAATTCATTGAATGGAGGCTGCAGTGTTGGGGGAGAGAGCAGCCTTCTGCATGGATCACATGCAGGATAGTGTCGACAGCTAGGGGATTAGTTGGCCCTTAGTAAAATGGGGAATGCAGAATCTGGGGCGGATCTGATGGCTAAGCTGTTAACAGGAGATCAGTATGCCTTTAGAAGAACCTAGAGTGGATTGCAGGCCGCATATAATCTTTTTGGGGGTTGGATTCACTCCATGGGCCAGAGGTTATTGACTCCTGGCCTAAGCAAATAATTCAAGACCCCATGTGGTGTGGTGTGACCAAGACTAACTTGTGCATAAATCATGTTCTTTCCTTTTTTTTTTCTTTTTAGTGGTCAGGTTGGCTCCCGAAGTCCTTCTATGATTAGCAATGACTCAGAAACGTTAGAAGAATGTATGGTATGTTCAGATATGAAGAGAGACACTTTATTTGGCCCATGTGGACACATTGCCACCTGTTCTCTGTGTTCCCCAAGGGTCAAGAAATGCCTCATCTGTAAAGAACAAGTTCAGTCCAGAACAAAGGTACTTAACACTTTTTAATTTTTGATAATTATTGTATTCTTTTTGCTATTTAATGAGTTTCCTGAGTACTGATCATGAAAGGGAAACGAAATGTATTAACATTTGCAGCTGATATTATTTGTTTTACATCTGTCTTGTCTCTGGCTGAGGCAAAGCTCAGTATTTTGTGTGACACATCTCCTTTTTGCCATATGTAAATGATAGAGGTCCAACAAAGGTTAGAGAGAAGATTTATCCATGTTAGGCAGATGACTAAAACTTTATAATAAGCTGTACTGACAATAGTATAAAGGTTGGAAGGTCGTAGCCACACCAAATTGTTAAACGTCTTCCCTATTTTCAGTGCTTACATTCAGGGTATCTTAAATTTCCTAGGACTTTCAAACCAGTTCTATTTCATGTCCATACTCCATGTAGACCTCTGCTTGAGGCAATCTCAGGTTCTTACACAAGTGTATTGCATAGCATGTGATCTCAACTGCCTTCTCTAGTGAAGTTTGATGTACCAGACTTGCAGCTCTGGTACATTACCCAATCCTTGAGAGACTTGGAACACTAATCATTACTTCAATTAGTTATATCCACTAATGGACATTTAAGCTTTTCTTTTTGCAAGGACTACCTGTCAGATTTGAAATCCTGCAAATTAAAGACAAAAAATCAATTATCATATTTCCTCAAATACAAGATGAGGTTTCCCCCTCCAGTTGGTATGGGGGGGAAAAGCCCCTTGTTTTACATTTTATATTTGCATACAAGGAAATTGCATTAAATATATTGTCTATCATTAAACTGCTGCTTTTACGTGCTCAGTATTGGAAACCAACTATGAAGTTGATTAAATGTAGCCAACACTGAGCATAACTATAAAGTACATGGGTCATATTAGGAAAACATGCTGATGGGAACTTACCACAAGAATAGGTTAATGCATTCCATCTGAATAAGATATATGGTAGTGCCTATTGAGTGTACTCTCCCTCAATGCTGACTCTTTCAAGTCATGGTGAGCCACTGCATTGCTTACTTTCAGACTTTCTCTTTATTCTCATAGCTGAGCTGCACCTTTCTTTCCCCTTGCCAATAATTTTTGCTTCTTCACCCACTTGAAACATCACCAAACAGGGGGACCCGAAACAGTTCACCCAGAATCCTTCTGTTGCCTTTTCTCTCAGCCTGTTGCATATAACTAGTGTGGCCCTGCCTTCCGTGAGATGAAGCTGGATGAGGTTGCCCTGCACCTCATCTACATATAAATTTTGGAGGATCCCAGGTTTTGTGACAAGAACATGCATTTCCAGTCATGTGTGTTGGGCTGATTAGCACATGGATACTGAGCAGTGCTGAACTATGGGTTCACCATGGCTTGAAATGCTGTTGACTCTGGTGGGGCCCAGCCCAATGAACTATATGATAAATCATGAATCTTTTGGCTTTGGACTAATATCATACATAGTTTGTACTATATAGAAGTAGGTGCTAATGTGCTACTGAAAAGTGTGTTTATGGAGTACCTGTGCTAAAACCTGCAGCAGTTTCAGAAAAAGTAAAATGCATCAATTCTAGGTTAAATAACTCCATGGTACTATATGCAAATTGATATAGCCATGTTTATTTCAAAGTCAGTTTTTTCAGGTTTGCTTCTCACTTCCATGTCGAAGGGAGAGCAGGATCTGACCGTATGGATCAGGGGAAAGTGCTGCAAGAGGAAGTAGTGTGGGGGGTGGAACAGAGGGCAAAGAGGCTACCTGACACCCTCAGATTTATTTTTCCTGCTGAAGCAGTGGGAGTTTGACAAATTCACAGACTTATAATAGGTTACTAGTAACCCTGAAGGAAAAACAAGGAAGGCAGATTATCCCAGAGAGATTCCTTACCTAACTTGTTCTTAAAACCCTACCCTCCTCAGTGTCTCTAGTTAACCTGTTTTAGTATTTAAATTATCCCCAATATCTACATCGCTTTAGCTGTCAATTAAGTAGATTACTAGTTATTGTAACTTACCCCTGTGAACCTGGAAACAAACCTTTTGTATATGGTGGGGCTTACGCCTTTCCTCAGATCGTTACAGACCACTACATCTTTCGTTTGACTTGATGGTTGACCATTGTGTATTGCATGTGGCTTTTCAAGCAGTTTGCAAAGCTGTCTTACGCACAAAACCCCCCCAACAATCCACTCTTTACTTTAAACTTGGTGCACTCCTGTGTCGAGGAAAGCTCATGCCCAAAAGAGGCAGTGGGTTACTTCAACGTAGCTCTGCAGTGTCTGTATGGATCGGGCTCTTTAGTGGGGCTTTTTTGGTGGTTTATATAGTTGCTGATTGACTCAGCTTTAGATAAAAGTGCCAAAAAAGCCCCACTAAAGTGCACAATCTATACAGATGCTGCAGAGCTGGGTCGAACTAACGCACTGCTTCCAGTAAAGCATGGGTTTTTTTTCTCCAAATCTGTTTCTCCTTCCTTAAGTAATAGGCCTATACTTTCTTCTGTATTTATAGAATTGTTTTTTTGCTGTCTTATGTATTTAAAGAAATGTTTTTTGCATGTTCCTGGATAGCTATAACTCATTTTGTACTTTCAGTCTCTCTTGATTTTTGCCCCTGCACTTCTACAATTTCTTTGAACTCATGCATAGTCATTGATTCTTTAGTCACTCCACACTTTACCTCTTCTAGTACCTCCATTGTGAGGTACTAGAAAAATGCACATTAGTTTATTTTAATGTGTATTAGCTGAAGAGCACTTTTTGTGACGCTTTAATGCACTTTAAAGCGCAAGTGTAGACGTAACCTTGGAGTCTGATCTTAAATACCTATCCACCTGGTAATTTTCCTTTACTTTCTGAAACAGTTGTGCTCAGCACATTCCAAGAATTTGTTTGATACACTCTTTATTTTGTCATGTTGCTTTTCCAGTTGAGATTGAGTGAGTCAGATCCCTCATTACCACCAGGTCCTGTCCTTTAAATGTTTCCTATAATTGTTCAAAATACCTCATTCACCTGTAATTTTGGTGGTTTATTGCAGTGATTCCCAACCTTTTTAGATTGTGGACTGGCAAACCATGGACCGGAAGTGACCGTGGACCAGCAAGCTGCGGACTAACAAACTGCAGTCCAGAAGTGACAGGCATACTGCGGAGCCCATAGTTTTTCATACTCGGTATAAAAAAGGGTTGGCAGCCAGTCCACAGTATGCCGGTCACTTCTGGTCTGGCAGCCAACCCTCCTGTGGACCGGCAGCCAACTCTTCGTGGCCCGATACTAGGCCGCAACCTGGGAGTTGGGAACCTCTGGTCTATTGTAAACTCCTACCATGAGATGGCTCCATGTATCTTTTTATCTTTACCTAGGGACATTCAGCCATTCTGGCTCTCGCCTCTTCCTGAACTACAGAGCAAATGTGTATATTCTTGATGTAAATATTAAATATTTTGTTAAACATAGCTTACAACTTAATTTTACTAAACTAGTGATTTCCAAACTGTAGCTCACAGAGAGCTACTGTCATACGCGTCACAGAAGTGTTATATGAATGGAAGAAGAGGTGACCAAGGAAAGCATGGATGTGTTGTAATTGGTCCATGTATCCAGTCCTTTGATACATTCCTTCCTCTGAAAATAAATTTAAACTTTTTTAGTCATTACTGTTGAGGGAGATTTTAATAAATTGAGCTGTTTTATTTTAACAGAAATACATATGCGTGCATCAGTACTGTTTCCATTTGTTTCCTAGCTGATGTGCATGACCAGAATTCCCATGTAAGCAATACTGAAAAGAATGGAAACATTCCTGGTAAAGATTACTGGTAGAGATAAATGTAACTTTTCATTTAAGTCATACTTTGAGATCGTGAATCAGCTAACAGGAAGGAGCATTTTAAAGCCTCTGCCTTGATAAAGGAAGTAAGCAAATTACAATAAGTGCAGTAAAAATGGGAGATGAATCTTTCACATATTGTTCTCTGTTCTTTACAGATTGAAGAATGTGTAGTCTGTTCAGACAAAAAGGCAGCAGTACTCTTCCAACCTTGTGGTCACATGTGTGCTTGCGAGAGTAAGTAGACCTAGCAGGTTCCAGAAAAAAAAAGATCTTGCAGCAAAGAATTCCTATTAAAAAATAGTTACTAAAAACTAACTAGTAAATGACTTAATAATAGAATTAATTAGAAATTTGGTTTTGCTTCCAGTGCCGTAAAACCACCTATCTGTAAGTGAATTTAAATAACTACAGCTCTGTTCATTGCCCTGCAAATAATTAATTAGGAAATTCATATATTTCACCTACCTGTGTCACTTATTTCTGACTAGGTTTTTTATTATAAACCGTATTGTCAGGGCATCCAGCAGTGTAAATGCAGTTAAATAATTTTTAAGTAAGTTTATAATTAAACATTTTTATATATTCCATTAATAGTACATACCTTTCCCCAAAGACTTGTCAGAGTATTCTTCTGCAACACATCACTCTGCTAACTGTGATTTGTCTGGTACAGCAACTGAAAAAGATCTGGAAACCAGTTAGGGAAGTCTCTGGAGGCTTTCTCTTGTTTATGTAACCAGATGAGGATGTAGAAATATCTTGTGACCAGGACTTCTGAGGCATTGCTGAAGGGTCAGTTGTCCAGAGAAGACCAATTGCTTGATGATGCTTTGGAGCTACATAAATGAGGGGAGGTAGTCTTCCTGAGAGAATGACTTGCTTCAACTTACTAAGGAAATCTGATTAATTTCGTCCTCAATGCTGTAGCGCAAAGACCTGATAGTTACTGCCTTTACTACCATCCTGATCTGGGCTCCTTTATTTATCTTTAGTTGAGATATAATGGGAAAGATTTTTAGTCAACTCCCATGGAGGAGCACATCAAGCAGATGGATTACCGTGATGATTGATCATTGAAATACATGTCACTAATTTGTAGGCCGTTAAGAGCAAGATAGAGACTCTCTGTATTTGAGAGGCTCATTCTTAGATTTGCTGGAAGATGCAAGAAAGGAAGAGCAGTCCATTAGGACAGAGTTAATGTCCCTCTACACTTCTTAAAGACTATTTACAAGAACTCGTATACGAAACTGTGATATCCTGTTGCTACAATCATGCACTATTCACTTCTTACAGAAGAATTTTACATTTTTCTGTGATGCAAACAAAGGATATAGATTTACCCTCCATCATACTTGACTTCAGAAATACTTACATTCTTCTGCTCCCAGGACAAGTGATACTTTTGGCTGTAGAAACAAGCAGGTGGTTGAGAAATTCTTAAAGGCTGTCTTCCCAGATGTATATGACCTTGCATACAAATTCTGCAGCACTGGTAAACACTAGAAGAAACTGAAAAGCAAATGCCACTTCATCCCAATAGTGGAGTTCTTGTCCTTGTTTATTTGCAGAAAATTGCTTTTTCAAAGTATGTTAAAATAAATAAATGAAATGGTTTTCAATGGAATTAAGGCAGGTCACATACAATGTGTAGTTTACAGATAAACTTTTGTGCTTTTATTACATGTGTATATATACACAACACAAATGGATTTTGCAGAAACTGCTTCATCTTGTAGGTAGATTAACTCATGGGTAGAGTAAAGTTTTAAAATAAAAATGCCTAAATTTACCTGACTTCAGAATGAAGTCTTTTTCTTTTTTCAGACTGTGCAAGCCTGATGAAGAAGTGTGTTCAGTGTCGTGCAGTGGTTGAGAGGAGAGTGCCTTTCATTATGTGCTGCGGTGGGAAAGGTACAGAAGATACCACTGATGATATTTGTGAGTGACTCAAAAACCCATGCTCTTTTCATCCAGCCTTCATTCTCAGCCTTTGAAAAGGGGTGGAACAGCAGTTAGAAACCTATTTTGGAGTTCCCATAGCAGTGCTGTTGGGGCATGCACTCTATATGTGGAGGGTGATTCTGGTTCTCTTCCTAACTTAGTGCCCCTCTTGACCAGCCCTAGTTACGCTGCTGGGTAGAATATGAGTATCGTCAACAGTCTGTAGCAGTATACTAAAGAAATATGCGAGCATACTTCACTTGTTGGTAACACCCATGTGAATGTTAGTGTAAGACAGGTCCCTAGATGTCTGCTGGCACTTTAAGCAACAACACAGGGAAAAATTGTCAGGAAAAAGTAGCTTATAAAAATTCTATTCAAATACATTTTCTGTTTTAGGCTTGACATTCCAGTGATGTCATATATAATAGGATTATTAACTCATTTTCTTTTGAAGAGTGTTATTTCTGTAATTCAGATGACTGGAAATACCTTGTGTCAACAGACTAGATTTTCTGTTTTGTTAGTGCTACATATTGTGTATTTAATATTTTCTCTGAACTATAGCGAGTGGAAACATTCCAGTTTTACAGAAAGACAAGGACAACACCAATGTTAATGCAGATGTACAGAAGCTTCAACAACAGTTACAAGATATCAAAGAACAGGTAAATAAAAAAAAAAAATTGGACATTACTTTTTTCTTGAACACAAAACATAATAAAACCTCTTGGAATTTGAAACAAAATGTCAAACATTTCAGTTCTCTTTTTCTGTTTAACTAGAGAGTTTTGTTTTGAGTAGTAAGGAGTGGTGTTTGGCTTCTCTGACATATAAATGTTCATCAATTAATGGGCAGCCATATTTAACAAGCTGTTTACTGGAATTTTCTTCATTAGTGTAACTGTACAGACATATGCGACTCAACTGATAAATGTAGGAATGAAAGGAGGAAAGAAATATTTTTTTTGTCTTTTGACTTGACAACGTTGTATATAGTTCTTTTACAGTGAAGCTATTTTTCATTGAGTGCCATTACAATTGGACGTTCCTCTTCACAGCACAGTATTTACAGTCCCAATGTAGGGGTGGTGTGCCTTCCTATACGGTATTGAACCATTTTTGCACATTTGCTGTCAGGTCGGTTGTTCAGGCTCCAGCAAATATGTGGTCTCATATAGGGTTGCAACAGGAAATACTGGTAGGTATGTGGATATAATTTTGAATTAGTCGTAGATAAGATTTTTTTTAAGTCTATAGTTAAGGCTTTTAAAAATCCTTGCTTGGAAAAGAGAAATTTATTAAAAAAAAAAACAACTTTGGGCAGATTTATACATTCAGAAGTAATTGGGTATGGCTGTATTTATCAACTAAGAGCATTGTAAGTGTCTGGACAAATTAAATGTTCTAAAACGCCATGAACAGACTACACACACTTTGAAACTAGTGTAGCCTTGCCCAATTTTCAGCTGATTTACCCCTGTGTAAATGAGACCATATTAGTGTAGAATGGCTTGAGTTAGGATTGGTCTCTCTGTGGCTTCTCTTTGACTTAGCTGATCGGTCAATCAAGTCATTCCACATAGTTTTGCACCCTCTCTGAGCTAAGATGAGCTGGCTGATCACTCCTCTGACCTCAACTGTTTCTTTTTTTTTTTTTTTTTTTTTTAATCTGGCACACTCAGAATCTGTTTCTTGCTCAAGTACTTCAAGAATTGGAGAACCTTTTCAGAAACACCCTTACCCTGTGTTTCATCTCTTAAGCTTTGCTATCTGGTGCTTTCCTCAAGAAGGTTGCTTCAGCTCATTGTGCTAACTCCTGGAACCAGAAGGAGACCCTCAATCTCATTTCTCTCTAGCAAGGTGAAAGTGCAACAGGCATTGAAAAATTCACCACAGCCAGGGCACCTAGGATGTCACTGCTGTGCAGATGGCTGCTGAGAGCTGTGGGATGAGCAGCAGTGCAGGATAAAGGTGAAGGACCTCAAACAGGGATGTCTGTCAGGGCCCTCCACTCAACTGCCAGATTTGTATACACATCTGTCTTATGAGAAGCTCAGCATGATCCTGGCAGCAGATACCAGCAGTGAGCCATAGTTCAATATTGAATCTGGCCAAAACATGGACTTAGATGTACATGAATGACATGGAGGAGCCTAACAGTGAGGTGGTTCCAGAGAGGTAGGCCTTGTTTGATAATCAGGAATCCAAGCTTTTACCTCAGCTTTTCAAGGAGAGTCTGGAAGCCTTTGAGTTTGGAGGTGTCCAGTCTTGTCAAACCAAACCTCAGCTGTCCAGCCCCACTGCCAACCACCTTATCGCCTTTGACAGAAAATCCCTCAGTAGTGGAGATGCCAATGAAGGCGGTAAGTGAATGTGTGTTTTGTGCCAGCTCATTCATGTTACCCTGGCCTCACTGCAGCCATTTTTTGTAGATGAGAACAAGCATATCCCTAGAGAGGTGAGCCGTCAATAACCACATGTGAGTGTCTGGCACCCTGTGTCCTACACCTATGACAGCTGAGAACTGGCAGTGGCATATCACTTTCCCTCCCCTTTTGGGGGGCGTGTCAAGCACAGAAGTAATCAAGTTGTGTTCAACACCCTAGCCTCTTATTGTAAGAGCACCTAAGCACACTTACGAGTGGAATACAAATAGTTAAAAGCAGCACTATTTTCTAGTGCAGCCAGTTCCATTAGCAGGTGCATGCACACCAGCACATTCGAGCACAAGTGTAGTCTCCCCAAGCCCTGAGTTGTGCTTACAGTCTTCCAAACCCATCTTGCTTTGATTATTGTAGGACTTGGATCACAACAGCTTTGAAATAAAGGTGTACATGAAGTGCAGGTGTAGTGCTCAGGCCAAGTTTTTATATTGCTGGAAGAAGGTGAAGGTTTGTCCACAGTTGCTGAATAATTGGCTGTGCTTCCCACTCCTCTAAGACCTCAGTGGGTATCATCCTGGTGAATAAACAAAGCTTATCTAGCAAGATTCTCTTTGGCTTTGAACACATACTTCTGCTGCACTTTTGTCACATTCACCAGGATTCCCTCTTCCCAAAATGGGGATTGCATGGGAAAATCAACAGGTATCATGCGCATGGCACTTGCATGCCCAAGAGCATTTCCCACCCTTTCCCAGCTGCTTGCTCACACTCATGACCTAGAAGTGTATTCCCACCTTCTGGAAAGTGTGGCGAAACCCATGCACTCCTTTTAGGTGTCCAATCTCAGATCAAGGTATTCAGAAAAGGTTCTAGGTATGGCATCCCACAAATTATAGGAAAGAAAAGGATTTCTGAAGCAGAGGATTGAACAGTGACCATTCAGTACATTTCTCTGCTTCCAGGGTCAGCAGCTGCAGCTCCTACAGCTTAAGGGTTGCAAGCACTGACACCCAGTACCTGGTGCACATGAGTAATGGAAGAAGAGGACAGACGAAATGCTCCTGGGAAGAAATTTGGTGGATTTCTCAAAAAGGTCTAGATGGAACAGTTCAAGGACCATTGTGTGGAGATTTTGCAGCAGGACATGAGCCAGGCAAGAACAGTGATGCAGAACCTGGTCAAGAGGGCTCTGGAATGACCAAGGAAGCAGTGACTGTGGTAAAAGAGACATTGGAGTTTCTCTAGGGAAGCCTCTAATTTGAGCTGTAAATGAAGCGCCTGATACTGGATTGCATAACCCGCCAGTTGAGGAAGTTCCACTCTAGCTCCTTTGCCCACTCTCATCCTTTGCTATGAATGTCTTCAGCAGCTGCTTTTAATGTGGGAGTCAAGTTACTCAACGTGCTGCAGCACTTGATGAAAACAGATTTCTAGGGTTAACAACATGGACAACAGAGCCCTAGGCTTCTGTTCCCCTACCAGAGACAGGGAGAACTGCTTTTTTCCCTCCTTCGTGCCAACCTGATACCTCTCACTCAAGTCCATAGGGCCCTTGACCTTGCAGTGGGCAGGGGGTAGTCTTTCTTCTGAGACTGAGGATTGCCTCCTGCTGGATTTAAAGTTCCTGTGCTGTTCATAAAGTTAAGCAGTTTTCCATTTGCACTCTGCCCTAATTCCAGTCTTTTGAAGACTCTTTGCTATTTCAGTGCATTTTGTTGTTCACTGTGTGGCTAGGTTTTTGTTTTTGCTAGATAAGACCTTTTGCTTGTTAAAAGAGCTTTATTGATCACTAAGCACGTACTTATATTTTGGCACAAGTCCAGTATAAAAGAATCACAGTAGTTCCACAGGATGGTAGTTACGTGGCAGATGTCCAAATCGAATGAGTAGACCAATAGGGCTGGACATATACAGTGTGGCACTGGCATGGTTCGGGTTCCCACTGTGGTCCACAGTACTCAGCAGCATGATGGAGAAAAGGACTGATGTATCCTGGAAGGGAGAGAGAAACAATTGCACTGTTTCCCACTAATCACCCCCACCTAACTCGGGGGGAGGGTTGAAAGTGTTAGGAGGAAAGACTTGAAACCCTTCTTTATGGCTGTGTACTCCTTACACACAGTATTCCAGCAGCAGTTGCTCATACCAAAATGGCTCAGTAGCAGTCAGGGGTTACCACCCTCCAAGTCACTATTGCCGTTCACTTCTTCACAGTTAGAGATTTTAATGTTGGTGATCTGCTTCAGCAGCTGTTGGACTAGCTTGGCACAGGTTTCAAGGAAAATGCCCTTCCTCTTCCTGAATTTCTTACTCTTTTGCTGTTGTCTCCCTTCTCCCATCAGTCTATACTTTTTTCAGTAATCAGAAGTCTGTGGCTGGTTCTAGAACAAGCCGTCCTCATTTGTAGCCATTTTCAGTAGAACGTGTTAGGAAGGAATGTGCCATAGAGCTTCATAGATGTTAGGGCTGGAAGGGACCTCGCAAGATCGTTGGGTGCAGCCCCCTGCCCAAAGGGCAGGAAGTCAGCTGGGGTCAGGGGACCCCAGCAAGGTGAGCATCCAGGCATTTCTTGAACATATCCAGAGTAGATGCTTGCACCATTTCTAGGAGGAGTCTATTCTAGACTCTGGAGACTCGGATGTTAAAGAAGTTTTTCCTTATGTCCAGTCTAAAATAGTCTTCCAGCAGTTTATGACCATTAGACCTCGTCTTCCCTTGGGGTGCCCTGGTGAACAGATGTTCTCCCAGTTCCTGATGCACATCCCTTATATACTTATAGGCTGCCACCAAGTCACCCGTGAGCCTTCTTTTCTCCAGGCTGAAGAGTCCCATGCCTCAGCCTCTCCTCATAAGGCCCACTCTCTTTGACTTCTAATTAGGTGCGTGGCTCTCCTCTGGACTCTGTCACGCTTAAGTTCATAGATTGTTAGGGGCTGGAAGGGACCTTGTAGGTCAGCAGGTCTAGTCCCCCTGCACTAGGAAGGAAAAGACAGCTGGGGTCAAGTAACCCCAGCGAGGTGACTGTCCAGTCTCCTTTTGAAGATTTCCAGGGAAGGTGACTGCACCACCACCAGAGGGAGTTTATTCCACAGTCTGGACACCTGGACTGTGAAGGAGTTTTTCTTGGGATTGAGCCTAAAGCAGACTTCCGGGAATTTGTATCCATTGCTCCTGGTCTTCCCCAGGGGTGCCCTGGTGAAAAGCTGTTCACCAAGTTCTTGATGTAGTGCCCTGGTGAACAGCTGTTCACCAAGTTCTTGATGTAGTTCCCTGATGTAGTGGTAAGCCACTACCAAGTCCCCTCTCAGCCTTCTTTTCTGTAGGCTGAAGAGGCCCAGGTCCCTCAGCCTCTTCTTATATGGCTTGTCTTGCAAGTCCCTGATAATATGGGTGGCTATTCTCTGGACCCTCTCAAGTTTTTCCATGTCCTGGTTAGACTGTGGTGCCCAGAACTGGACACAGTACTCCAGCTGCAGTCTCACCAGCGCAGAGTACAGTAGCAGTATCACTTCCTTAGTTTTTCACGGAATGCAACGGTTAATGCATGCTAGCATGTTGTTTGCCCTGGTGACCACAGCATTGCACTGCAGGCTCATGTTCATGAGATGGTCGATCACTACCCCTAGGTCCCTTTCGGCTGTGGTGCATGTCAAATTGTCGTCACTGAGCCTGTAGGTATGTTGGGGATTGTTTGCCCCCAGGTGGAGCACCTTACACTTCTGAGTGTTGAACTTCATCTGGTTCCGCTCTGCCCAGCTCTCTAGCCTGTCCAGGTCCACCTGTATCTGCAACCTATCTTCTGGCATGACCACGCTCCCCCATAACTTGGTGTTGTCCCCAAACTTGGCCAGTGAGCTTTTCACCCCCACGCCCAAATCATTGATAAAGATGTTGAAAAGCACTGGGCCAAGCACAGACCCCTGAGGCACACCACTGGCCACTTCTTGCCAGGACAACACAGATCCATTTATGAGAACTCTCTGGGTCCTACCATGCAGCCAGTTTTCCACCCACTGAACTGTTGAACAGTTAAGCCAACACTCATTCAATTTTTCCACAAGGATATCATGGGATACTAGATCAAAAGCCTTTTGGAAGTCTAGGTATATGTCGTTGACCTTCTCTCCCGTGTCCAGGTGGCGAGAGACCTGTTCATAGGAGGAGATGAAATTGGTAAGACCAGACCTACCCGTGATGAAGCCATGCTGGCTGTCGTTCAGAATCTTACCCTCAACAAGCATATCGCATATAGGTTCTTTAATGAATTTTTCCAGGTTTTTACTTGGGATGGAAGTTAGGCTGATTCTCTTATAGTTGCCCAGGTCCTCCCTCTTCCTCTTCTTGAAGATGGGCACAATGTTGGCCCTCTCCCCTGTGTGCCGTGATTTCTGAAAGAGTTTTGCCAGGTGTTCTGCAGTGACCACAGCCAGCTCCATCAGCAAGAGTGAAGTCCATATGGTCCTGCTGACTTGTAAATGTCTAGCTTTTCTAGTTGGTTTTGCACCAGCTCAGCATCCACAGTGGGAAGGCTGTCCTTCCCACCATGCCCCCTGTGATCCTTATCTCGCTTGTCTTTCCTCATTGTCTGGTAAAATACTGAAGCAAAGTGGGCATTCAGGAGTTCAGTTTTTTTCCTGAGTGTCCGTTACCAGCTGTCCCGAGGTGTTAAGCAGGGGACCCATGCTTCCATTTGTTTTGCTTCTGCTCTCTTCATACCTAAAGTAGGACTTCTCATTGTCCTTGGCTCCTTTGGCTAACTTAAACTCAGTCGCTGCCTTAGCTTTCCTAATCATTTCCCTGCAAGCACGGACCACTGTTGTATAGTCCTCCTTGAGGACTGTCCTTAGCTTCCACTGCATGTACGCCTCTTGTTTCTTTTTCAAGAGGACCGCAATGTCCCTATTGAGACAGGAGGGCTTGCCAGCCCTTTTGGTACCGTTCCTCTTCATGGGAACAGTTTTCTTTTGTGCTTTGAGGATCATGTCCTTGAGGAACAGCCGCTTTTCATGCACCCCATTCGCCTTCCATCCCTGGTCCTACATTGCTTCTCCTACTAATGCCTTGAGCCTGTTGAAGCTTCTCCACATCCTTTCTAAAGGAAAGGAGTCCAGAATTGAATGCAGTACTCTAGCTGCGGCTTCACAAGGCCAAGTAAAGCAGGAGGATGACTTGTGTCTTGCTTGAGATGCACCAGGGGATGAAAGCCAGAGTTTTATTTGCTTTGCCAGCAGCAGCATGGCATTCGTGGCTCATGTTCATCTTGTGATTAATCTTGACCCCCAAGTCTCTTTCGGTCATGGTGCTAGTGAGCACTGCCACGACTATAAGTATGATGTGAGTTCTTTCTCCCGAGGTAGAGCACCTCACATTTAGCAGTGTTGAATGTCATCAGGTTTTGATCCATCCACCTTGCAAGCCTATCCAGGTCAGCCTGAACCCCCAGCCTATCGTCTAGCATGATTGCACTTCCCCATACTTCGGTTTCATTGTTCCCTATAAGACAATGTTTCAGTGCACACCCTTGGTCCTGAACACTGTGTCTAGCTGCGTGCTCACACAAGTGTGCATTAGGAGGTGTTGGTAGACTTGGTGATGAAGTCTGTATTCATTACCATGACATGGTGGGCACTTTGTGGAGTTCAAAGCAAGAGATGTTGATATTGGTCTGTGTGGCACAAAATGTCCATTTCAAGTCTGGCAGTTGAGGGTTTTCTGCAACTGATAACATTTTAATTGCATGATAAATGTAATTTCTGCCAAGAGCCCTTAGAATTATTTTAAGTGTAGTGTTTCGTTATTTGCTTCAACAGTTTACTCATAATATTACCTTGGTATTTGTGTGTTCTTAATTTTTGCTTGCTCTTTTCAACAGGTATAAACCTGAGTTTCAACTCTTACTTTTACTGTTACTTTGATATGCTACTGCAATAAGCTTTTGAAGCTATTTCTGATGTCAGGCAGAAGTGATGTCTAATGTCAGCTAAATTCCACTCATAAGTTTTCAGGGATTCCCTGAATATTAGCCACTCTCATTTTCAAATAAATTGTATTTTACCATTCTTTGTAAATTAAATCACCATTTTTATACTGTTTTAAATGGATTTACTTCAATATCACATTGCATCTGTACATTTTTTGGAGGCATGTTATCAGAAATAAAGGATTGATACAGGGTCTAACTTGACACCCTTACCAGACTTTTGATGAGAGGGTAATGCTCAAATAGACTTTTTAGCAATATTGTATGCTGGTAATAGTTTCTTGTTACAATCGCCACTTTTTGAAATTATCTTAACTTTATCTGTAGATCACTATATTACTAAGAACAGACTAGATGCCTTTCTGATGGTATTTTAGAATGAAGATATCTATCTGCTCCAAGGACAGAATTTTCATGTTACCCTGCAGCGGAAAGGAGTTAAATATCTTTTATCTATATGACATGGGATGTCAAATATAAAAAAGATTGACTTGGCACCAAAAGCAGGTTAAAGCATGTTCTGGCAAAATAATAATAAAGCTGAAATACCTACCAGTTGTTTGCTTTCCTTATTACAAAAGATGGAAAGGAGCCTTACAACTAATAAGGATAGCCTTGGAAGGCAGGCAAGAAGACTTACCACTCCTAGACTGTTATTTAAAACTGCTACTATGTGGAAGTGAGTAGACATTAAAATATTGTATTAAAATGAAACTAGTGACTTGCAGTTAATATTCACCAGTTACATTAAGGTGGAATGTGAGTTATTTGATAGCACTGCATACAGTTGGGAGAAGTCCTCATTTTGAGGTTGAAACACTAATGTTTAACTGAAGTTGCAAGTAAATGAGTAATCAAAATGAATTCTACCTTCATTCCTTGGGCAGAATGTACATTGACAGAGTTCTATCATGTGTATATTCATTTTCAAATTATTGTTCAGAGTATTGGAGAGAAATGGATTCTAGATTCTGACTTGTATCTTATGATTAGACTCAAACATAAGGTGCATGACTATAGCACATACAAGAAGGATTTCAAGGCTTTCCACAGAGGATGAGATTTGGGGTTTATATTCCAAGTCATTTTCCACATGGATTTCCTTTTGCTCTATTGATTTATGGATATGCTACAGGAGAAAGCTGCTTCATACTCATAGGTTATCAATGAAGAATCTTCTTTTACTTGGACACAGTTACCACAGATAATAAGGATGCTACATAGGTGTCCCAATAAAACATGAAAGTAAACATTTAGCTTGAGTGAGGAATGGAGTGGAAGCACTGATTTAGTTGGTCCTTTGCAAGGCTTTAATAGAACATAATTTTATTAATTTAGAGTTACCAATTTTTTCCCCTTGAGAATGAATGAAATTGCAAATGTAAATTGCTTTGAAGAGTTCAAGATCTCACTTTAAAGTATTTTAGTAGCTCCCTCAGTATACTGACTTCATATAAATTAAATGGTTGTATGGAATTTAGCCAAATTTAATGTGTCATCTTTCTAATACATAGAAATCATAGTTGAAAGGGACTTTGAGGGTTATCTAGTCCCATATTCCTATACAAATGCAGAAATTGTCATTCCTTAACCATTCCAAGTAAATGCCTATTTAGTCAGTAGAATTGGAGGCGTACTTAAGATACATTCTGTAGTCATACTACTGTAGGTACACCTCTCTCTATAATGAACTTCTATGGGAAACGTAGAGTGACTTAGAGAATACGTTAGAAAAAACAGTACACAGTTTAGGGGTGTTCAGAAAACATGGATTTGGAAACTTAGTGTATAATATTAAAGTTTTTGATTTGTATGTTATTTAAAGGATTCTACTAGTCATTGCTACAGTTGTGAGTAATATGATACAGATGTCTTGTAAGCACATCAATAGATGGTATTGTAAATTCTATGCTTTATAAGCAGTGTGTTTATTTAACAGCTCGTTAATGTAATAACATTACAGTGTGCTAGTCTGATGCAGCTTTTGACCTTTACTCTTTTTGGGTCCGGCTAGGTCTCGTGTTTGTATGTGGAAAGTTGAGATAAGTAAATATGTTGTACTTTTTAAACTAGTGGTTCTCAACCTGTTTAGAATCAGGGCAGCCCTCCTATATATAGAGGGAGACAGAGAGAGATAATAGAGATATAAATACAGGAGGGCTCCCCAGATAGATAGAGATTTTTTTAATTTTTTTTAATTTGGTAGTATCCCTGGTTGAGAACCATTCTTGTGTTCCTTTGGCTTACCTCAGCAGTTCTCAACTGAGGTACTGCTACAACAGCCAGCTGGGACTGCCCAACATGGTTCATTGCACAGCCAAGTAAGCATAAAGCCTGAAGATTCTCCTTTTTATAGCGTTAGCACTTCCCAGTCTGGCCCCCCATGCTCCTTGTGGAAAGAGAGAAACTGTCCTGTACGATGAGGGAGCCAGACTGAGAAAACTGGTGTGCCTGTCTCTCTTGGTTTATCTGGCTGTGTGCTGAGGCACATAGGGCAATTCCAGCTGTCTGCCACAGCACACCTGAAAGAGTATTGTGGCGCTCCATTTGAGAATGAATGACTGATTTAAACAAATAAGTGCACTTAGATTTTTCTTTCCTGAAAATTACATCAAGAACTTGAAAAAACTGCAGTTGAATATTGCTTATTTATGTCATATTTGAAGGCCCAGCTGACACTCTCATCTGCCTACTGCAGGATTTACTTATTTATGAAGAAATGAGTTGAGAAAACTGAATTGTTACCCTTTTGTGAATAAACTGCAGAAAGAAATATTAAATTACAGGTTAAATGCAACTAGTAAAATTTGCTATTCTATATTTAGTAATAAAGGCAGGTTATTGAATATCTATTCTATGACTTGGTTTTTCTGTGGCATATTGTTACATTTCCAGTAGTTCCTAGATTACAAAGTAGGGGTTTTCTTCCCTTTGACATTAATTATGTCAAACTGTTTTACAGACCATGTGCCCTGTGTGTTTGGATCGTCTGAAGAACATGATTTTCCTCTGCGGTCATGGAACGTGTCAGCTTTGTGGAGACCGAATGAGTGAATGCCCTATATGCCGCAAGGCTATTGAACGAAGAATCCTTTTGTATTGAGTAATAAAACAAGTGTCCTCTGTTAGTTTCTTCAGTTCTTAGTATGTTTTGCTCGTCAAATCTCCGTAAGCTTTGAAAGGCTGTTGAAGGTTCTAACAAATATACATTTCTTATAAAGCAGCATGTGTAATTGCTTAAAGACTGTGAATGCACCAAAAAGACTTTGGTGTATTCTTTTGCACCAAACAGTATTTGAACAGTTAGCTGGTAGTTGTACTGTTAGGAGACACTTAAGCTTAGGCTAACCTAATAAAGCAGTCTTTTCCCCCTTAAAGTTCCAAGTGTTAAGGGACAATCTTGATTTCTGTTTTTGTATCTTTAAAATTTTCTATTTATGTGTAAACTCTGTCTGCCAGCAAGTGATGTACTTTTTATACTGTCACTTGCTTTCAAATATAGATTTTTAGTTTTCACATCTTCAGTGTATGCTCAGTTGTCAAATGACCTCACAGTAATTTTGTCTTGAAAGGTACAGTAGTGCAAAATCAGCACAAAGTATTCAAAGTAATACTCAATACCATACAGTTCCTATAAGATCGGGCATTAGACAATAACCCCAGGATAACTTTTTAATGTGCCTTGTTCAGCTATATGTGGATTCAGATTAATGTCTAGAATTAATAAAAGGAAGTAAATTTACAAAGGTTGTGTTCCCAACATTATACTTCAGTTTTACAGGATCAAGTTAAATTAAAGTAGAAATTTTAATCCATTTAGCAAAATAATTAATATGTAAAATTATTTTTCAAATACCCTGAAAAGAAGAGCAATCACACCATTAGACATTTTATTAGTTTTACACCTTAAAATAGAAATGTTTAAAATATAGCCGCTATGGCCACTGAACAATTTTGGGTCTTGTGATTTTAAGAATCTGGGTGATACAGTTTTACCTTTGGTTCTGTTGAAAAATCCTAAATGTGTTTTAAAGACTTTTCTGTTGCAGATTTTGTATTCCTTAAACAAAATAATGGATGTTTGCTCTATTAAGTCAGCCTTCAAAAAATTGTCTCTAGGCAACAGTAGCAGCTGTACTGTACTGTACAGCAGCAAAGGAGATGAATTTTATGTCTGTTCATCTCAGTCAGGTATTAACTTCAGAACCCAGTTGGGACCATTTAGTAGCTAATATTGTTAAGTTGGTGTTGACAGGTCTTTGGGTTTTAGGAAACATGGCTAGAAGGATTGAAACTGGTTGTGGGAGTTAACTATGATTTAAGTGGCACTTAAAAATCTGCTTGGTTCTTCGGATACTACTGCCGGTAATGCCTAAACACAGAGAGCTGCTCAATAACAGTTGTGTTCTCCTGGAGAACGGGACCACAAGTCAAATTTCAGAAATGGAGTTAAATTCAGAATTTGTGCAACTAGTCGTGGCAAATATTTACTCCAAAGCACTTCAACAGTTGCTCTTACTGACTGAGCAATATGCAATCAGTCCATCTAGACCAGTGGTTCTCAACCTTTTTAGACTCAAAGCACCCCTTTCTCTCTCTTTTGACTACAGAATTCTTTTGCTGCAAAGAATTCAGAAAGACCACAGCAGGTCTCAGTGCATTTTTAATACTGTGGATTCCTATTTGAAATCTCTGGGTTTACCTTATGAATAATTTTTGCACGCCTAACATTGCATGGCACCCTTGACAGCATCTTGTGACACCCTGCTTGAGAATTACTAACCTAGATGGTGATAGGAAACTCTAGTGGTTTCTTGGAAAATCATGTGATGAAAGACGATAGCAAAATTTCCCTCCAGCTTCTTTCTCAATTTTATACTCTTTTCAGTAGTTTTGCAATGAATATCAAAATCTTACTTTAATCCAAATCAGTATTCAGTTTTCTGATGTTAAGTCACTTCTTCCTATGTGTTGCTATAATACATAGATTATTTCTGGTCGGATGAAATAGTTCTCTCACGCTTGCTTCTTTTAGACCCTTTACTGTAAAAAGTTGCTCATAATTTCTATAAGAAACAATGTTTTGGTGACCATTTTGTCTCAAAACTGATTCTGATTGCTTTAGCAGCAAAGATTGGAATTTGCTGCCCTGGCTAGATATAGGATTTCTCAAATTTGAGAGAAATTTTATTCTGTGCTCTTGAATACCTACAGAATCTCTGATGCAAGGTATTTTCCAATTCTTAGGAAAATGATTTCATAGTTCCTAGTGCTTTATCTTCTTGTTATTTGGCCTGATTCTGTGACTTGTAATCTACAGCATTTCCCCTCATGATAGGAAAACTCTTTCCTTATCCTTCCACCTTAATAGACACATTTTTTGAGCACTGGATCCTTATTTTTCAGAAAGTTTCCATTAAATCAGTATAAAGACTGTCCGTTTATCACTGCTTGGGAAATGCAGATCAAACTTGACACCCCCCACCAGTTATATTCATTTGGTTAATTTCTATGCCATAACAACTGATATTTTCCTAAAACTTAAGCCTTGGAGCAAGCCAATATTATGACCATTATTTTTCATGCAGTTTTCCACATGAGTTAAACTCTGGGTGAAATCTTATCCTCTATAGAATTCAGAGAGTGTTTTTTCCTTCCTTGAAGTCGGTGAGTATTTTGGCTTCAGTAGCATCAGGATTTCACTAACTGTGCTTTTTCTCTTCTGTCTGATCTCAGATTTTCTGGTTTTGTTTGATTAAATGTTAATTTAGGATCCAACTAATACTTGAACATGATTCAACTGGGCATTAGCTGTGTGTGTCACCTGGGTGAGATTTTTTTTCTAGTGAACTAAAACAAAGCATCCAGAATAGAAAATAGGAGGGAAATTCTACCGGCGTTGCAGCTTCTTAGAGCGCATAAGTTGCATCCGAAGGTGAGAAGAAATTTGTTACCCATTTACTTTATATGTTTCAATTCCACACTTGCTTTTAAAAGTAAAAAGAGCTGAAGGTGCTTTTCCTTAGAGCTTTACTTTCTACATCCTTGGTTTGTCTTTGTTATTACAACTTAATAGATCTATTCAATTTGTATTCATCCTTGGTAAACAGTGTTTTGTTCAGATGGAAATAAAAAATACATTTCAGAGATTTAATGTGATATTTTCATGACATTGAGCCTAATAGTTTGGTTAGGAATTTTATTAAATTAGTAGTTGTACAGCTTTGACTTGGTGTTTAAGATGCTAACATTGGATTCTAGTTACAGGTCAACTGTTTCTTTAAATCTGTAAAATGGAAATTTAATTTAAAATGACTTTTTAGTTAAGAAAGAATATCATAAACAATATGATATAAATCTGGTTAGATTTACACCCTGCTTTCTGATTGCAATACAGATTGAAGCTAATTATGTAGCTAGTACTGAAGAAATCTGCTTTATCAGACTGTTGCACAGTGTATTCACACTCTTTAATAATAGTGTGTGTGCTAGCCAATATTTTCTGAAACGCTTGCAGGCTTCTTTTGGATACCCTTTATGTGGTAACCAGGATGTCAAAAAAAAGAAGAAGAAAAAAGAAAAGAAAAGGTAAGACTCAAAAAGGTAGATGGAAAATTATGGCAAGTAGGGAAAAAGAGGAGTGTGAGTGAGTGTTATTGAGCAAAAGATGACTTTTTTACCAAAACAGGGAACCAGAGTAAAATCAGTAAATAGTTGGCATTAATTTAATGCACTTATTTAAGAAGTTCAGGCATCTTTTCAGGTTTTTCTTTCTTAGTCATAGAACAATTCCCCAAGTGTTAAAGTTGTTTTGGAATTAAATATATTGGAAGAACTTCTTCAATTGTATATATCTTGATATGATGGTAAAGAGTGACATTATAGCTGTGATGGTCCAGAAGTTATATGAGGCAAGGATTTCTTAGGGTGGTATCTTTTATTGGACAGCTATGTAACTGGGATAGCTTTAACTTTAACTCTATCTTAGCTACATAGTTGGTCCAGTAAAAGATACCCACCTAAGAAGTCCTTGCCTCCTGAATGTCTTGATACACTTTCACAAGTGCTTTAAAGTTATAGTGTACCAATTACATGCAGAATATTCTAAAAGATTTGCTTGAGCATCTTCCTTCCCATGTGTTAAGAGCAAATTGAAGTTGGTTCTACACGCATACTTTTAAAGGAAGCATGATGTCTTAAGTCCAAACTGATGCAGTTTTTTAATAAGCTAATGAGCTTAAACACTTCAGAACTTCTTTATGTTCCTGATTGTATATTTAGAACAAAGTACCTTTCGGGCCCATTGCCTTGTTCGTACCTCCTGCTATATAGTGAGTGCCAGTTTGAAGGCATTTGGCACTTTTCAGGATTTGGGCCATTTAATATATATTTTCCTTTTTTTAAAACACTAAGTAGTTCTAGGTTACTTTAAACAGGATCCCTTTGTTAAACTGGAAAGACAGTAAACTCAAGTTACTTTGTAAATGTGAAAGTTCCTTTTAAAACTAGTTGAGTTCTAAACTTGAACTGTATAGAGATTACAGTGGATTTTCACAAGTAAAATGTTGTCATTTTAGTTTTACATTAACAATTTTAAATCTCATTTTACAGACTTGTGAAATTAGCTCTTAAAAATCTGCTTTGACCTTGCTATTTTTGTGTAGATAGTTGGTAGAGATTTCATTTTACTAATTTATATCTCAGTGTTAATGAAATTTTGCAGCATATATAAACTAATTTGTTGAAGATGCTTTGAGTATTTGGTCTCTGAACTCTGTAATATTAAAAATTAAATGTCAGACATTTAATTTTGCTCTTTTCAATGGTAGCTAGGGAATTGCAGAGCCTGGACCATTCTTAGTGCTGAATGGATGAGTCTCAAGTTTTAACTTGTAAAACACTAATGTTACGTTTAGTAACTACCTCCTTTTCTCTTAGAGAGTTAAGTTCTACAGTCTACACTAATTCTTCTTTATCTTTGGAAAGGGGTAGAAGAACACTACAGTTTTTGTTTTGCATCAGTTTCGGTGCCTGAATAATGTCCTGATGGGTTACTGCTCACTGTATAAATGATCTACAGTAGAGATATGATTGCCACAGTACTGTACGTTCCTGGGTTTTTTTTCCTTTTTCTAAGTTGCTGCATTTCATATGCTATTTTCTTCTACATAATACATAATTCATTTTATTCACAAAACAAAGTTTATTGTCTAAAAAAGTTTGTGTGCCATTTTCTATAGCTATAACTACAGCAAGTATGAAAGTTCTGACTCAGGGCTTTTTAACAACTTAAACACGTTAACAAATGTTCTCCAGTGCATCTTGGAGAGTGTTAGAGTTTTAATGATTGTATAGTGCCTTGGTAGAACTATTGAATGGGCAGCAGCCATAGAATCCTTGTGGAATGCAAGTATGCTTGAATAAAAGTACTGAGTTAATGCAGCATACCTCCTGCATTTGTGCCATGTACTTACGTACTTGTATTTCTACAAAGAAAAGTTAGCAGATTTAGATCTTGTTAGACTTTCTGCAAATTGTTTGATTACTGTACCCAGTAGAGCAATTATCATTGGGGCCTGAGAGGTGAGTGGGACAGTATTCAAAGTCCCACAAATAGCATTTGTGAGAGGGTGGATAGCACATTCTATGTAACTAAGTTTTTAGTATGAAGGGGAGAGATCATTTTATAAACAGATTTCTAGAAAAGTTAGTGTTATAGGTCTGACCTAGTAATTTTTTTTCTTAAAAAAACTCACAAAATAAAACAAAAACAAAATGAATTATAAGTCTGCATGGCATTTCCTAGTTAAGAAAGTACAAGTCTTACTTTGAGCTTCTAGGAAGAATGTTCTTTGTCCTAAGCTTAGTTTCATTATGAATGCAGCTGATTCTGTAGTAGAACATGGATTTTTCCGAACCACAGCAATGTGCTTTCCTTTTGTTTAAAAACAGCTTTGTATTCAGTAAAATGTAAGTGTTGATATGACTGTTTTATTGGATTAAATTCAAAGTTGTGTGTGTGAATGTAGTTGATTTTTTTTTCTGTACTGAAAGTAGCTTACATAATTGCTTTGATTTAAAAATGCTTAGCAAGGCCTAAGCTTTTCAAAACAAATGCTAATGTATCGTCTTGTTAATAAAACTTATTATGTAATGAGTTGTATTTGGACTTTTTTCAAAAAGCTTAGATAAAAGGGTGTTTGCATCAAACTAACATCTGAGAGCTAATATTTTGGTGGAGGCTATTGGAAAGGAGAGATCAATTCATTTGTTTTGCTTTTTATTTGAACTTCATTAAAAGTGAAAACTTCTAATAGCATTGGAGCCCTTCCAAAGAGCTATTAAAAGTACATGAGCAATCTGAGCAAAAGTTCGGTAATTTTTTCAAAACAGTGGAACATGATATCGCAGAATAGACTGGGTACTTTGGTTCCGTAACACAGTAGATCCTGGGCTTTTTGTAATAGGGGTCATTTGTATCTGGCTTCATTTGCAGTGGGTTGCCAAAATGAGAAACAAACTGTTCGACTGTTTCCTGTGGCTTTTATTTCAAAGGTTACTGTTTCTTTACTCCACTGTTTGGTGGAACTCATCAGAAGTCCCATGCAGCTGCTGACTGCAGCTCTCTAGACCCCTAGTTACTTCATAAGCTTTCATCTTCACATCAGGGGGCTGGGTCGTGGTAACTTCAGCCAGCAAAGTATCAAGTTCTCTTGGGTGTAGAAGGACTTTTATCCAGACTTTAATTCTGGTTCTTTGAGCTGTTCAGAGAGATTATTTACAGCAATCTGAAATTTATTTTTTAATTAACTATAGTAATAGATTCTTAAATAGGTAACTACTTGTTTCTGTTGTTGACTTTCTTCAGCTTGTGCTATAGAAATGGGAAATATGGAGGCTTGATAGAATTATATAAAAGATTGTAAGGGATCTTGGGAGGTCATCTTGTCCAAAACCTGGCCAAGGCAGGATCGTCCCTGTCCATTCCAAACAGGTGTTTGCCTAACCTTTTCTTTAAAATTTCCAGTAACGAAGATTCCACAGTCTCTTGAGGTAGTTTGTTCCAGTGCTTACCCATCCTCATAGTTAGAAAGTAAACTATCATATCCAGCCTAGGATTTCCCTTACTGCAATTTAAGACTCCAACTCCTTGTCCTGTCCCCAGTGGCCAGAGAGAATAGTCTATCAACATCTTTGGTATCACTACCCTTCAGGCATTTGAAAGCAGTTATTAAATCCCATCTCAGCTGCCTTTTTTCCAGACTAAATCCCACTTCTAATCTTTTGTTGCTTTCTTCTGGAGCCTTTCTAATTTGAAGTGCAGTGCTCAAAACTGGAGAAAGTACTTCAGGTAATGCCTCACCGATGCTAAATAGAGTGGAATAATCACTTCCTTTAATTTTAAATAATGGTCTTATTATAAGAACCTGTGGCCGGTCTCTGTACTACCATGTGGGGAGTTGGATTGTCCTGAGCCAACTTTCCTGCCACGACTTATGGGAGATGTACTCAGTTTCCTTGAGTGATGTAAGGATCTTCCTGCAGGCTCGGGCTTCCCTTTGGTGTCTTCTGTGGGGCTTTCCCCCTACACCCTACCCCTTCCCTCTCGGGTGTTCTGATGGATCACAGGCTGTTTGAGCATTCTTTGTGGTCGATTGGAGCGTAGCTGGGTGATATCCCTTCCATGGCCATTGGCCAGGCAGTACTGTAGTTGAGATGAAAAGGCTAACAAAAATGGAAAAGAGTAACTAAACATCCCTTAGTATGGGCAGGGCAGGGCTCCATTGCCCCACACTGAGCTGCTTGCTCCTAAGCATTGGAGTTTTGGGATTTTTTCTGACTTCACCCCCCTTTTTCTCCTCTTTCCTTTGGCACCCCTTGTTCTCAGGGGTTCTCCACTTGTGCACTTTGTGTGAGCACTGAATATTGGGGTGCTGCAATGCATCCTAAGAGAGGTCCTTCCCCACTGAGCCCTGGTTGGCTCTTCCCCATGAGGGCCTCCCTGTGCTCACATTAACTTCAGCTGGGCAAGAGCTGCCCAGTCCATAGACTCTGTGCCACACTGGGGCAGTAGCCTGGTTGGCTGTTCACCTTGGCCTGCCCCTGGCCCCACAGGCTGGGGCTGGTTTCCCTAACTTACAGACTAATCTCCGTGTCTGTGGTGGTGGTTTTGACAGTGATGGTAGTGGTGGTATTGGCAACAGAGGCAACAAGCCTCCAGTGCCACAGGTGGTGTCGAATCCTGGCTTGGGTGCTCAGTGTCCTCTGCCCCAGCCCGAGCTCCTGGGAGGTCTTTTATGGCACACCCACTGCACTGTGTCCCCACCCAGACCTGGCTTGTTTGCATGCATGGCAGCAGCTGCGGTGTGTGCAGTCTAACCACCTGTGCCACAGAGATCAGGTAAGTCTAATGGGGACCTGCCACACACCCTCTTTTTGCTTGGTGGTTGGATCGCCCATTGGTGTGGTGCTGATACTTGCTTATCAATGGGGCACAGTTCAGTGTCTTGCAGGCGTGATAGAAAATGCGCCACGTGTTGTCTGCCTGGCCAATGCTGGACTGTAAAACAAAATAATTATAATTCACCATGTAATCCAGGCATTATTGGTCTTCGCCGACTGTAACCATTTAAGAGAGGCATGGTCAGTCACCAGGTAAACTGCTACCTAAGTGAACAAATGAATAACTCTGAACAACAACTGAACAACTCCATACCTGAACATCTCTACTGCCCACCAGATGGCCAGACATTCCCATTCAATCACAGAATACTGCTGCTCGTGGGGAAGCAACTTACAGTTTACATATGCCATGGGCCATTCCTCGGATGGCTCTCCTTGTGCTAGCACTGCCCCTAGGGCAATCCCTGAAGCATCTGTCTGCAAAATAAATGGTTTATTAAAATCCAGGTTGTATACTACTGGGGCCTGGCATAACGCCCACTTGACTCATTTGAATGCCTCTTGGGCTATCACTGTCCACTGAATCTGGTTTGGTTCCTGGCTTTGCATCAGATTGGTAAGAGGTATGGTCATCTTGGAGAACTGTGGAAGGAACCTACAGTAGTAGTTAACCAAGCCCAAAAAAGCCCAGACCTGCTTCTTTGGGGTTTTTCATACCAACTCAAGGCCCTGACCATGTCTCCTAATGGGCAGATCTGGCCTTGCCTGACTTGAAACCCTAGATACTCAGTCTCCCGCTGGGCTAGCTGACACTTAGCAGGGTTGACTGTCAGCCCTGCCTTGCACAACTCTTGAAGGACCTTCCATAAAGTCTTCAGGTGCTTGTCCCACATTTCTGAGAAAACAATTACATCATTGATGTATGTGGAGGCATATGCCTGGTGGGGAGCTAATAGTTATACACCGTTGAAATGTAGCCACTGCATTGTGGAGGCTAAAGGGCACATGTCAAAATTCAAACAAACTCCAGGGTGTACCGAAAGTAGTTTTCTCTTGGTCTGGAGTGGCTAAGGGTATCTGCCAGTACCCCTTAGTCATACCAAGCGTGGATATGAACTGGGCCTGTCCCACTTTTTCCAGCATTTCGTTGATGTGGGGCGTTGGGAGGGGATCAAACTTGGCCATGGCATTTACCTTGTGGAAATCCATGCATAGTCTCAGGGTCCTATCTTCCTTGGGTACTATAACTAGGGGGCTATGCCACTGGCTCCAGGATTCCTGGATGATGCCCCTATCCAGCAGTTTGGCTAGTTTGGCTTTGACTGCCTCATGCAGCTGCTTGGGAATCCATCTCCAGCTTTCATGTATTATGCATCCCTCTGGGGTAGCTATGCAGTGCCCTATTCCCCTACCCTTTCCTGGCTCTGGGTGGAACACTTCCTGGTGTTCCTACACTAGCCTGTGGAGTTGATTCTCCTGAGTCTGGGACAACTGCTCCCAACTTTCCCCTCCCAGGTTGCTGTCTCCACCAGAGAATGCCCCAGCTTGGCCGGGTCGGGATAAGGTGCCGGTAGGTACCCATCATGTGCCCACCATGGTTTAAGTAGGTTGACATGGTAGATCTGCTTTTCTAATTGCCTACCTGGTCACAGGACTTCATAATCAACTGGGCCCATGCACCGAGTCACCTTGAATGGCCCTTGCCACTTGGCCAGTAAGCAGCTGTTATGGTCTAGCAGCAAAACCAGTACATGATCACCTATATTACAATGGTGTGGTCCCTTACCTTCCTATTGTACTGGGCTTTTTGCTGTGCCTGGGCATGTTCCAGGTTTTCTTTGGCAATCTCATGGGTGCAGGTTAGGTGCTTTTATCTCTGTCAAATGTTTGGCTACGTGTGTTCCCATCTCAGGCTCCTGCTTCTATGCCTTCATGTACCATGCCAAGAAGGCCCTGTGGCTGGTAACCATAAACTAAGTCAGAAGGCGAATACCCGGTGGAGTCCCGTAAGCACGAAGTTTGTGCCCTGGTCAGTCAGGATCTCTTAAGGGATCTCGACCCACGCTATCCATCTCAGCAGTTTCACCGCGATTTTGGGGGCTGTGGCCTAAGGGAAGCGGGTCCTATAATCCATCAGCACTAGGATTTACTAGTATCCTGTCCTACTCTTGGGGAAGGGACCTGCAATATCCAGGGCAAACTGCTCAAATGGCTTATCCGTCAGGGGCAAGGGCACCAGGGGGACCACCAGAGGTTTCTCAGTGATGGATACCTGACACACTGGGCACATCTTGCAGTATAACCTGACTTCCTTATAGAGGCCTGGCCAGCAGAAGTGCTGCAGCAGGTGAGCCTCAGTCTTATTCCAGCCCAGGTACCCTCCCATGGGCCCATTGTGGGCCAACCTAATTAGGACTGCCCAGTGAGGCTGAGGCACCAGCAGCTATAGCAGCTCTTCTTGTCCCTTGCTTCAGGAGATATGATAGAGGAGATAAGAGACTATCTAAAAACAGAGGACTTGAGATGCCTGTGCTGGCCATGAAATAGCTCCATTGAAATGCACTAATCCTTTGCCAAACGCGTGCCAGAATGGTGGGTCATGTAGTTGGTCTACCCGGAAAGGCCCCAAGCTCAAGATCTCATCTAGGTCCAATGATCCAGCCAGTTCTGTCCTAGCTGCACAGCCTCAGCACTCCTGCAAACCTGTCCTGGTCCTCCAGTTCAGCATTGGTGGCATCCTCAGCCATAGCA